AAAATATATTTTTTTGTGTAAAAATATTGGAAAATCACATAAATTGATCATCTTATTATTCTTTACTTTTCAAAAATAATCTACACTTCCTTTCTCTATTTCTCTTCTACAATGTCGTCAATTCTTCATATTCTAGTGCAACATAAAATAGGCTTTCTTGATATCAACACCGTGGTCTATTTAAGGCCGCTAACTTTCTATTACTGCAACTCGACAAGATTTTTCTCTGTTTTCCTTCTTTTCCAATGTCAACACTGGATATGTAGCTGCCTAAGAGCAAAAAAAAATTAATTAAAGAATTTTAAAATTGATTCACAATTCTTCTCCAAATCCTTAGCTAGGAATTGGACTTGGAAATATGTATTCAAGGATTGAGAGAATATATATATATTTTTACAATGACCGATTGGTATGACTGTCTGAAAACTTCGTACATATGGTAACACTCTGATTATATGAAATCTCCGTAATAAAGAAAATTTAGGATAATGGGAAATATTCGAATAAGTGGATCAATTATTTTCTTGAACAACCATAGCATAAACATTATATATATATAGGTAGGGCAATAATTTATTTATGTGTGTGTAGAAATTAGGATTATACTCAGGATGAAGCGTGTTTTCTGTGCTCACAATCCCCCACTGATACCATAAACAACATAACCTTGGTGTTAGACAAAGTGTCGACATGTGCAGGTGGCCGAGGATTGGTGCCACCATCAATGTGCTCTTCGTGCTGGGGTCCATTGTCGCCATCGGCTTGGTCACCATCCTCGGGGGCTTCCCGCCCACCATGCTGGTCACCACCCCCAGCCCCAGGTACCTACCATCGCCATCCTATCTGGTCTTTGCTTTGTCCTTCTCACTATTCCCACTACTCCATTAAATATTGTACCTGGAACAAATTTTTAGGATGTTCCATAAAGATTGCGTGTTCCCTTTTTTAAGAAAACCTTCTTTGAAATTACCATTATCTTCAAAGTCTGAGAAGGCAAAGATATTTCAGTTAAAGGATAATTTATAGAGATTTATTTCCAAGAAATAGAAGACGATGTGTAAAAGAATATTTGAAAATTTCAAAAGGTAGTAATTGAAATTGAAAATACTTTATTATATCGTTCATATAAGATTGTATAAGGTTAAATACAAAATAAACGAAAAAATATAAATAAATAAGATTAAATAAAGAAAATATATGAATAACATGTAGAGAGGTTATAAAGTAGTGATGAGAAACTGCCCAAATGTATTTTATTAACAAATGAGAGATAGAAAGGCGTTTTTGGGGTTCCTAAGATTGCGGTAGTTGAAGAGCATTTATACGTTTTGGAATGGAAATTCACCACTTTTATAATGGCAGAAACGACTAGCTAAACTAATCCAATCTGCTCTAAGCGACCACTTCCAGGAGAGACCAGGGGTATCCGTAATTTTTTACTGTCTCAAATAGAAATATTCGTTGTAATTGCTCTGAGATTTTTAGTTTAATATTTTGTAAAGTTTGTATATGTGAGTTAAATGAGATATGCAATGATGCACGCCCACGCGGACATAAGCCAATAGCATTTATTTTCATTTATTTTCGTAAAAATATATATATTTTTTGTCGTGTATATTTTGTCCGTTGAAGAGCAAAATTTTCTCTAAAGCTTGCAACATCCAAAATAAAAAGAAACTCTTTGCTTAAAATCTAATTTTCATTATTTGAATATGGCATAATAATAATATTAACTTTATTAACATCCTATAACGCGATATCCCAAACTCAGTGATATTTGCATCAATACATTTCTAACATCATATCAAATTGGCTATATATAAGAAGAAAGGTCAAGGAGAAAAGACAAACAAACAAAAGCAATTCTCTCAAAATTTCCTTCCCTCTCTTTCCCAGTTCAAAAGATAGTTGTATATATATCTATAAAATTGATTGAAATTTTTATGTTTTTTTCTCATCTACAATTTCTTATAGCTGTTTGATGCCACCAGATTTTCTTTCCTTATAATCCCGAAAAATTCAACATTCCAGAAGTAGATGTTTCGAGTCTTGAATTTCTCCTCCGCAGAAATATGCCGGTTCCTTCACCGCGCCGATAGTTGACAAAAATTTTCCAAAATTTCCAAGATCAGTGATAAATTGGACATTATAAAAATCTGGACGGAAAAAACTTTGGAATTCCATAAATTATAAATGATAAGAGAGCGTGGTGAGTGTAAGACCATATGGTGTGGTACCAGTGACCTACAGGAGTTCTGGAGGAACATCTACTTCCAGACTTTCACCCACATGGGCCCGTACTTCATCGGTCTGGCTGTTGGAGTTGTGTTGGCACGACGCCTCGTCCCCTCCATGTCCAAGGTACATCCTTTGTCACATCCTTGGTCACACTCAGGACTGTTGAATGTAAGGTTTCTATTCGAATACAGGTTTATTTACTGGTAAGTCTTATATTGATATCTATGTTCCAGGTTATTGTCACGTCCTCTGTCACTACCTTTAAAACCATTATTATTGAATGTAAAAGGTTTCTATTCAATTGCAGATTGATTAAGGCTTCACTTATATTGATATTAATTTCAAAAATAATGCATATATTGGAACAATAAAGTAACTATAAATTCAATATATGCATCTTTTTTCAATATAATTTTAATTATGGATTTCTCAATCTTCAAAATTGATATCTATGTCCCGGGTTACAGTTTTTTCTTTTGTTACTACCGTTAAAACTATTATTATTGATTGTAAGATGTTTCTATTCAATTACAGGTTGATTTTTAGCTTTACCTTTATTGATATATTTTCGAAAATAGATCAATCCATAAATTAAACACATTAAATATGTTATAACACCTTGATAAAGGTTGGCGTTCAGCCAACTAAAATTTTGGTAGAATAAATTAAATTTTGATACAATATATGCCTTTTAAATTAAATATTGATATCTATGTCCAGGTTTATATATACTGTCACGTTCTTGGTCACTCATTTATAGCCAGGTGTTTTGAAGATAAGATTCCTCAAATGAGAAGTTGATTAATATCTTTCACCAATTGATTTCCATGTTCCTGGAAAAGGCTACTATTATTGCTCAGAATTAATTAGTAAAGAATTACATATTTCCCTATAGACATATTCCGGGGGATATTGTTCTTTAAAAAGGTCCCCACTTCGTCTCAATATCTATATATGCAAAAGATTATGCGCCATTTATGTTATAGATCGATATCTTCCCAGCAAAATACCAATCTATATTTCGGCCATAGAATTATCATAGCCACTATGCCACCAAAACAACTAACAGGCGAATTCGGAATATTCCGTGAATCTCTTGTTGATCTCATCAAATTTCGCCTTGGACTGACGAAGACCATTAGCCCGAAACCATGGTCTCCGGATGTCCTTCATCACTACTCCACTACTGCTCAACATCTCTAAACTCACTACAATATCATCACATTTATATCATATTTTATCTAGAAAAATAAAGAGTAACGATGTTTTCTTTGCAAAGGCGGCGAGATCTTAGAATAAATTGAATAGATCTTCCGGTATAATGCACAAACTTGTAGAATAATTTATCAAACATACCTTATTTCAACAAATAAGAAAGGTATTGAATATTTTTAAGTATTTAAAGATTTCCTGTCCCTACATACGTTACAGTAACAAAGACTTGATAGATCCTATAGCATGGTATTATATAAGCGTATTTTTGCATTATCTTAAACTTATAAAAAGAACCTTCTAACAATCCACCAAGCGACAAGAGTGGCTACCCAACTAACTGACATGGGGCAGATGGTCTTGGCGGTGGGGTGGACGGTGGTGGCGGCGGGAGACCTGCTGGCTCTATTCTGGACCTACCACTGGAACCACGGCCACGACCCCTGGAACTGGGCGGGGACTGTGTACGCCATCACCCACCGCACTGTGTGGGCGCTGGGACTGGCCTGGCTTGTGCTGGCTTGTCTAGCCAGCCCCAGGGGTGAGTGCTGTTGAAATATTATTATAGCAAGTTATAAACTTGCCAACCTCGTAACTTGGCCTGGTATCTCGACTGGGTGATACCTCTGATATTCCAATTTCTTCCGTTGTGTTTTATATTATAGAATAATACTTTATCTATAAAGATAAAGGTCGCCTTTATCGTCAAAAAAAGACGTCAAAACTAAACGCCATCTATTGACTTTCGCTGCAAACTAGCGGCCTCGAGTCAGTGACAAAGCCACAACATCAGCTTTGGCAAACTGAGAAGCGTCCAACTAGAGATCATGGTTTCTAGGTGGACGCTTCTCAATTTGTCAAAGCTGATGTTGTGGCTTTGTCACTGACTCGAGGCCGCTAGTTTGCAGCGAAGGTCAATAAATGGCGTCTAGTTTTGACGTCTATTTTGATGGGAGAGCCACCTTTTTCTTTGAATATGAATATCCTCCCGGCAAAATTTCCATCTAGAATAATACTTATTGTCTCACACATAACCGAACATAGACCAATCTACGAGTAGGATCTATCCATAGAACGCCCACAATATTTACAGTTCAGTCACAAATCATGGGCTTCTCCCAGTTTGCAGAAAGAATTGTACAACCCACCATATGTAAATTTGTAGATGAATAAAAAAACGCATAGTGCTCTTTGTATATGAAGGATGTCAACCTTTTTAATTAAAGACGAAACTATTTCTACAATTATTTCACTGAAAATTATTGGGAAGGCTTGGCTCAATGGTGAACATTCCCAATTATTTTTCATATTCCGTTCACTAATTGGATGTGGAAATTCGTCCTTTATTTTAAAAAGCAATCACTTCAAATATTTCCATCCTCTACCTACCCAGAAAGCGCTATGTGTATTGCTTACTTATGCATTTGTATATTGTTGCATCATCCTGGAGGGTTGGCTTCATGTCAATATTCGATTGGTCCATATTAAAATATAGAAGTATCAGAGTCATCAATCAATTCTTAATTCTGTCACCGTTTGCTTTTGTGAATGGAATATTCGGTGGTTCAGTGGTAGAATGCTCGCCTGCCACGCGGGCGGCCCGGGTTCGATACCCGGCATATTTTTTTTTTACAATTTTTTAAACTCATTTATATTATTATCCCTATATATATAAAAGTCAGCGTATGTATGTATGTATGTTTGTCAACTATACACGTCCACAATACGTAACTAATCTGACTGAAATTTTAACAGTATATAAAGTGGAATCTGGAAGAACTCTTAGTGAAAATTTCAGGTCTCTATCCCGAATATCCGTAGTGTTATTTGCAAATTCGCTCTTTCGCTCGCGCCTCTAGCGATGAAAATGGGGGGTAATACCAGCTGACCTAATGTACATGTAAAGTTTGGAGCGGGACGTTTCACAAGAGTGACCTCCACGGCTCCAATTTATAATTGTAACGAATAGTATTTGAATAAAAAAATTTAATCAGGTAAAACCCGGGCGTTGCCCGGGTCATTCGGCTAGTCAAGATTATAAGTAACACCAGAACCAGTAATCACAAAACAAATTTACTTCAACAAGGAAAGTATTTACAAAATTTCCCAGATTTCTCAATACAACTGAGAGATATATAAACAAACTGTTTACAAATAAAACGCTGACTTGAGGTCACGTGACGAATGATGATTTACCGAGTAGGCAACCAAAGATTATTCTGTATCAATATGTGTAAATTCTTATCTCCAATGCTAACACTTGTTGTGAAACCAAGAGAGAGAGAGAGAGAGAGAGATTTAAACTTAGGACTGTATGTGTTCATCTCAGGCGTAGTCGCTCGAATCCTCTCCTGGAAGGTGATGATCCCCCTGAGCCGTATGACCTTCATGGTGTACCTCATCCACTACCCCATGCAGTGGACTTTCCAAGGACTGCGGCACGAGTTCTACTTCAACAATGCACTCGGGGTATGTTCTTCTTCCTGACAACTGTTCCCTCTTAATACCTAAGATCTAAATACAAGGTGCGTTCATTAATTTCCAGGACTGCTCTGTATCTTTGAAAAAATAAAACAAACAAAAAAACTAATTTAATATTTTTCAAGATATGCTTCTCCTGCCTCAATACACCTGTTCCATCTTTTTTTCCAATTGTCGAAGCAGGAGATAAAATCACTTTTTGAGAGGTTCTTCAAGGTTGCCTTCGATTCAGCTTGTATCATATCAACGTTGTCAAATTTCCTTCCTTTTAACTTCATTTTCAATTTAGGATAGAGGAAAAGTCATTGGGGGCTAAGTCGGGGGAATAGGGTGGATGAGGGATCTGTATGGTTGAATGCTTGGCCAAGAACTGCAAAACAACATGGGCTGTGTGCGGCCGCGCAATATCGACGTGAAGTATCCATTCATTGTTTTGCCATCTTTCAGGTCTTTTAAGGCGCACTGCCTCCCTTAAGCGCCTCATTATCCCCCAATAAACCTCTTGATTAATTGTACGTCCGAAAGGAATAAATTCATGGTGAACCAAACCATTTAATATCAAAAAATGTAAAAAGCAATGTCTTGACTTTGGATTTTGTAAATCTTGCCTTTTTGGGTTTCGGTTCCCCTCTTTCAATCCATTGGCTGGATTGAGTTTGGTTTCCGGGTCATACTGATACACCCATGTCTCATCCCCGGTAATGATTTCTGGATCGGTCCGAGTCATTTCAATCATGTTTTTGCAGACATCCATTCTAACCTCCTTTTGTTCCTGTTAGAATCCGGGGAACAAATTTTGAAGACGTCCGGATCATGTCCAAATCTTTTGTTACTATTTGATGACACAGTCCTACAGATAGTCCAGTCTCTGAAGATAAGTCTTTAATAGAAATTCTTCTGTTATATTTAATTAATTCCTTTATTTTGAGCTTGTTTTCTCGCAACGTAATGATATTGGACGCCCAGTATGCTGATCATCGTTTACCTTTTCCCGACCTTTTAGGAAGCGTGAAAACCATTCAAAAGTTCTTTAACGGGATAAAGCTGCATCGCCAAAGCTTCTTTAATCAATTCATACGTCTCAGTAGCACTTTTTTTCAATTTGAAACTAAAATTAATGCAGATTCTCTGCTCTTTTAAAATTAGAAATGCGAACCTTACAAGGAAATTGTTTTGTTCTATTTTTAGATCGGCGCGTGCGCCACGAGACTCGTGCTTTCAGTCAGGTGTGGTCGAATGTCCAATTTTTAACTCTGAATAAAATTATTTTCTTTAGCTATTTTATTTATTTTATTTTTTAACCAGTCCTGGAAATTAATGAACGCACCTTGTACATTTCGAGCATGAATTCAACAAATGCGTTATGTTTCAGGTCTGGATCTACTTTGGCCATCTAGTGATATCGTACCTCCTGGCCTTTATTGCCACTCTATTCATCGAAGCACCGTTCTTGAACCTGGAGAAGATGGTGTTCGGAGGAGGATCCAAGAAGTCCAAAAATGAGCCGGTTCAGTCCGGTCAGGATCTCGAGGCTTCCTCCGGTCCCAGCAGCACATCCTCTGATCACGGATCGCATCCAGAAGCAAAGAACTCTACGGAGCCATTCTCAAACTTCGTACTGAAGGATCCCGTCAAGAAACAGAACAAAACGCTTCCTTTAAACATTCCCGATAATAACAATGATATAGAAGAATATACTAACGACGGCAATATTTCCTATAAGTTTTAGAAGGAAGCAAGAATGATGATTCTCAAAGCAATCTTGGTAACACCATTCTACCTTTAATTTTTCTTTGTATTGAAATTCACATTATTTTTATTTATTGACATTACGCTCATGTGAACGCTGTAAAGATAAATTGTTTTTATCTTAATTCATATCTGTTCTTTTAAGAGTTCTTTGAAGTTTGAAATTGTATCGTGATACTGAGTGAAATATTCATATGGAAAAGGACATTACGTTTTTATATATTTAAATATAAAATCATTTGAGTGAAGCGATTTTTCTAAAATAATAAATAGAGTTAAATGATCGTAAAGAAAAAGGATCAGGTATGTTAATCACCATAATAATTTACTTACATAAAAGTACAAAAAGGTAAACAAGGAGAGATTTAGAGAAATAGATAACACTAAGGATAAACCATTTAGTGAAGTGAATCAAGAGGTTTGTATCATTAGTTATTTCTTTTATTTCGTCTATTTTCATTTACAGGATGTAGATCTTAAGCATGTCCCCTCATTCCTTTTCCAGTTAGATTGTAGATGTAAAGGTGCTTGGAAAAGTGGAAGAGAATGATGTCTTGTTGGTGGCTCACCCATCTAAACTGAATTGTTAGAATCATCTATTGGTTTGAACGCTTAGTAGAAAGAATAAATGCTGCGCATCAGCAAAATTATTTTCATTCTTACCCAAACTTTGGAGATGACTCTCTGTCATCTTTATCAAAGGAATTCCAGATGCGTTTGGGATTTCCTTGATAAAATAAAGATATATTATTACAAAGAGACGTTGAATAAATAAAAATAGAACCTGGTTGAGACGGAGTTTATTCTCTCTACTAATCTGATTTGTTCCTACTTGGTAATGAGAGGTTTCTATTTAATTTGGTGAAGCGCTTCTTTATTTCTGATAAGATCATTTCAATAGAACCCGAGAATTGTGTAGAGTGATATTGTGTGAAAATCTTTTATGTGTGATTTCTTGAAGGATTTTATCTATTCATAAGAATTAAATACCCATTTTTTGGTTTTTCAAGAAGCCTCTGGGACCAAAAATCTTTTTTGGTCGCAGTGGTACAGCCTACTCCACGCTAACGAGCGCCAACAGCGCGAAACGCCTTCGTGGTTGGCTTTTCTTGATTTATTAAGAAATTGGGTTGGCCAAATATCACGGAGCAAGTTAAATAAACGTTTAGTTTAGTTTTTCTCCACTAGATGGCGTTCTGCCATCTAAAAAAGCACATGTGCTCGTGGTCAGGAAATGCCTTCTTTATTTTTAATATCAACACCTGACCCACTTATCTTTTATTTTTTTCTATTGTTTTTTTTTTTAATATATAAATATGTTGTGGCTTTATATCACTTTATTTTGGCATGAAATGGCAAAATGTTAGATATATTGTTAGTATTGTTGTTGTATTATATAAAATTAAAAATACCCAGTAGTGAACCCCAGCTGTGTATCTTTCTATTGAAGATGGAGGAATCAGCGTTCTATATTTACAGTCATAGACGAAACATAAGCTTTTTTTATTTTAAGCATAAACAAATCTTTGCTTTTTAAAAAGAGAAAGAGGCAATTTTGTTCACACTTTGTTGTCTCGTGTGTCTTCAATAAAGGTCACTCTGTATCAAATATATTTCAGAGTTATTGTCTGAATCCCTATATATATGCTAACAGGTAAAACTTCCTTTAGCTTCATCCATGAGTGTACATCGCTAGAATGCCACGATAAAATTCAAAATTCAATAATATTTTTCATCACTCATACAACTAATAAATTATTTTCCTGTAAATAAATATGTATATATTTGTGCTAGTTATTTACTATTTTTTTTGTATTGTATTTTGATATATATTTAAATCTTATTATATTATACCTTTTCAAGAATAAATATATTTAGAAGTATATATATCTCGTCTCATTAATTTTTATTTAAATATAATCTTTATTTAAAAAGGCATATATTGATTCAAAAAAAAAACCTTATTTGCCAATATTTCAGTTGGCTAAACGCCAACCTTTTTCAAGGTATTACAACATATTTATGTCAACAACAAACTCAGCGGTACATTACGTCAATAGAATTAACTTAATTCTGTTGATCTTATGTGGCGCTGAGTTTGTTATAATACCTTGAAAAAGGTTGGCGTTCAGCCAACTGAAATATTGGTAAATAAATTTTATTTTGATCTAATGTATGCCTTTTTATTTAAATATCTATTTACGGATTGCTCTATTTTCACAAAATATATATGTATATAGATTTTATTAAAAAAAAATTAGTCTTATAATATATTTTGTATATGAAAAATTCAAAGTGTGTTCAAATATCAATTCCATGCATGGATATTGGGAAAAACATCTCTGGTAGAGGACAGCTGTATCTACCAGTACTGGCAAGGACAATTAGAAGATCAC